ATCTTTCAACTATTCTTCAACTTTATTTGAAAACAAAGGTTACTATAAAAGCAATAAAGACTAAGGGTTTACAGTTTACCCAACTTTTAAAATCATGAACAATTAAAACACAGTGAGAAAAGGAATCTTAATACTAGCCAAGACTCAGCTGTCTTTCTGTGTAAACTCAGTATTATTAATGAATCTGCCTCTTAACTGCTTTCTCACTTTCTGAATGTAATTCAGTGAATCAAAGTTCTTTAGAGATCATTTGCCATTTGTTTTGGGGACAGAAACAATTTTGTTGATCTTAAAAATGTCCCAACACATACCTGTCACGTGTATAACCCAACTTAGGTTCAGTATAATTGATAATATCCTCTGCTGCCCAGGATGGCGACTGGTTTCCACAAAGAATCATTTGGACTTCTTCATAGCTGAAGGAACTTAATTTCTCCATTGGAAAAACTTTATTAAACCCATCTACAATATACACACGGTAAAAAAACAAAACAAAACACACAACTGAGTTTCTAAGTTATAATTTCAAAATACCAATTTCAAATCAAAATATTAATAAATGGGAAAACAAATATAAATTGCTATGTTAATATTTTTAAATAGCTTGAAATAAAAACTGTGCTATCGTTTTAAGGACAGAAATCTCTACTTAATCACAAATGTGAACAGAGAGAGAATATTCAGTCACTATGGTCAGTAACCAAATTCTAATAATTTCCCAACCAACACTTTGCGTCACATAAGCCAGCCAAAGCTATGGTCTCACTTTCAAAACTAGTAAGTGATAAACAGTCTGAAATATTTTGCTTCAATCTTCATCAGAATTTAGGTTCTAACATGGTTTGATTCATCCTGATCATGTAATGTGGAAAGAATACAACCTTATGACCACTTAAAAATGAAGGCCAAAAGTGAGTCCCCATGGCTCAAGGGGAGCAAGCTGAGGGTAGGCTACAGCTTACGAATGTTCCAACCTGTTCTGGATACTGTGCAGGACTGGTATGTGGAAGACGAAAAACTAGAGGGCAAATCTGGGGATTAACAGCAATTCTTGACCACAGCAGTGCCTTAATTTCAACTCTCTCAAAGTAAAAAGAGAGGGATTAAGCTAAAGAGCCTTAAAAATTACCTCTAAATGCTTCCATCTGTTTCTGAATACCCGTATGCATACAAAAGTCAAACATCAAATCCACATATTCTTCTGCATTATCCATTGTTATCATCTGCAAAGGAAAATTTGCCAATGTTGTTAAAACCTAGGAATACTTCAGTAGCGCTTAGGACACCTGGCTTCATTAAGAGGATAATTATGAACTTAAAACTATATCAAAAGCAAAATTTTTACCTCATCTTCACCACTTGGCTTGAGATCCACAGCTGTAAAACCATATATTCTTGAGGATGGGCAAAACTGGAAATTTAAACTGGGAGAACAAAAAAAAGATCAGGTTAACATTCAGCTACCATTGGTATTTAATTTTTATAACATTGCTGCCAAAAGCATGAACTTCCACGGTTCCAGCAACAGATTCAGTGTACCAGGAAGAAACTATTGCTTCACTAAAGCTATTCACGCTGTGCCACCACCTCGCCGCCCATCAAACCTTGATACATGAGGAAGGGAGGGAGAAAAAGCAAGGCTTGTAGTCAACCCCAAATCATAGTAAAACATACCAAGGCTATAATAATTACATGTGTATAAATCAGTATAATTTTATCAAAAGATCTGCAGCATCCGAGTTAGTCAATGCAGCTATTGGGGATAGGCTTACATAGAAAGCAAACTATTTTGAGCTTTTTGCCGAGTGGGCTATATATATTAATTAGCTAATAAATTTGTCAAAATATTTTTGGCTTCAGACTATTTTACACAAGATATATACATGTATCATATTTGAGAAATCAGATAATCTTTCAGGTTTGTTGGGTAATAGACTGTTTTCTGATATTCTGAGCTATCTTTAGAATATTAACAAATTAAAGGTTCAAATCAATATTTCCTCTAGCATATTACTTTTCTTAACAGACTGTTTACTCGTATATTGCAAATTAGTAGGGACAAAGAAACAAAAGCTTTAGAACATATTAATTCATTAGGTTTAAGAATATTTATATAAAGCTTACCCTAAATCCTCTATGCTTAGTGGAGGCCCGGAACCTGATGGATTCTTCAGCACTAGTTCCTGTAATTTGGTGTTCTTCTCATCTTCAGAAAGACCTTTGTTGCTTAAAATCTGGCGCCTCTTGATGGCAAGGTCTTTAATTTCTTTTAAAAATCTGGCTCTGTGTGGGTTTACTAGTTCAAAGTCTTCCCAAGTTAAAATTCCATTAAACCAAGCTGGGGGTTTTGGTTTGGGGGGATCTAGAATAAACTCTGATTTTGAATCCTCTTCAAAGCTTCCTACTGAGAGTGAATCATGACCTTCTTCTGTAGAAGCTTCAGACTGACTTTCAGTACAGTGTAAATCTCTATCGCCTCGTGACTCATAAATCAGTTTGCTCATATTGCTTTTAATGTCACCCATACACATAAGTTTAAAGAAAGGTTTAGAAATAGGTAGGTCCACAAGTCTATTGTCTTGAATGCATTTGGCCAAGAAAATTCCAAGGAAATGAAAGAGTTTTGTGATCCTTTCAAGCTCATCACTATCTTGTGGAAAGGGTGCCGTGAATAGTCCACATGATCTCTGCACATAGTATCCAGGAGGTTTCAATCCACCTCCAAGATCAACCTAATTTTTTAGAAGGACAAATGCAAATAAAATTAAACAAAGAGCCATAAACATTAAATATCTTCATCAATTTAGCTATCAGAAAGTATTTATATACACATTTTATTCAATTATTTTTGTGCATTAATATTATCCTTTAAAAACATTTTAGTAATATCAAGATTATTCAGTAATAAATTAAGAATCAGAAAACCTGGCTTAAGTTCTGAAAGCATAACCTATTTTTAACACTTTCTAAAAGCAAAATCTCAAATCAAACCCTAAAATGGGGAATAAATCTTACATGACGAGACTCATCATCTGGAAAGTTATCATCACAAAGCCAAGCTCCCAAGTCAGTTCTCTGGAATTCTGCTGCCACCAGAGCATAAAACTCTAACGTGGGTCCCAAGCCAGTTCCTTCTTCTCCTAAAAATTCAACCTAAAATGTGAACAAAAATTAGGGAGAGGTGAATTTAAATGACCCCATTCCTGCCAAAAATTAGTCATATCCAATCCAGTAATATATCTTTTTTATAGCAGCAATAGAATATATTATAAGCAACACAGAAGTTTATTCATGTTAGCTGTACGCTATTACATGTTTAAACACTGTGGTGAGCAATGTTCATACCTTAATTCTCCCAACAACCCTATAAAATAGATTTCAGTAGTCTCTCGTTATCCATGGGGGATACATTCCAAGACCCCCAGTGGATGCCTGAAACTGTTGAAGTACTGAACCCTATATATACACTATTTTTCCTATATATACATACCTATGATAAAGTTTAATTTATAAATTAGGCACAGTAAGAGATGAAGAACAATAAATATACTGTAATAAAAGTTATGTGAATGTGGTCTTTCAAGATACCTGATAACTGAGCCAACAGAGTGGCTCAGTTGGTTAAGAATGCGAGCTCTGAGCAACATTGCCAATTTGATTCCCACATGGGCCAGTGAGCTGTGGCCCAGCTGAGCTGCCAACAGGTGGCAGGATGGCTCTCAGTAGTTAGAGCATGCGCTCTTAGCAACAAGGTTTCTGGTTTGACTCCCGCAACGAAGATTGAACAAGGCACCTGAGATGAGCTACCAACAGGCTACCAGATGGTGACTGGACTTGGAGCTGAGCTAGCTGCGCCATCTACAACTAAGATTGAAGGACAACAACTTGGCTGTTCCCCTTTCCCAATTCCCCAATAAAATCTTAAAAAAAAAATTAAAAACAAAACCAAAAAACAGATATCTGATAACTGAGACATTACTAAGTGACTAATGGGCAGGTAGCATATACAGCATGGATACATCAAAGGGATGATGGCACAATATTGCATCTTGTTCAGAATGGAGACAATTTAAAACGTATGAACTGTTTAGTTCTAAAATTTTTCATTTCGTATTTTCAGACCAATGTTGATTAAAGGTAACTGAAACCACAGAAAGTAAAACCTTGGATAAGGGCAGACTACTGTATCACCTTCTTTTTACACCAAATATCTCTCCTGTCAACAGTTGTTAAAGTTAAGTCATTTGTTTGAGGAAATGATGGTATATAGAATCATATGTGTGTCTATGTAACACCAAAACCTAAATTCTTCCACTTATTTCTGACTTAAGGCAAATCACTTTAAAGGATTTTATCCATATTCTACCTGTTTCAATAATGATTTGAGGCAGCTTATAAAAACATGTAAAAAGCAAATAAATACAAAATTGAGGATTATCTAAGTTAGAGGGGATAAGAAGATAAGATGAAGGCAAAGAAAATTTAAAGTGAAATACATAAGCCTTCTGTATTTTCTAGAGATACATTTGTTGTGATCAGTCTGTGATCCAAAAGATAAACCAACAGGCTGGTTCACAACTGTTGACAGGAGAGATATTTCTTCCATTGTTCTTCATAAAAAGAATAATATCTATATAGCACATAATTAACAATACCCACAATAACATCTCTCTAGTAAATATATTGAATTTCATACTGCCATCTGTTGTAACATCTCTCAATACAAACCAATGATCTAATGCCAAGCACAATTTAAGTGAAACCATATTATGAAACAGTGTGCTCCAAAAATGGAGATCTCTAATAGCATAGCTTAATATAAAGGCAACATTTAGAGTAACAAAAAGAATCCTTTGTGAATACTATGATTTGGTCCAGGGTTTTTTAAGAGCACTTTTCATCTCAAGGGTGAAGATAGATATTCTTTGCTGCTCATTAAATTACAAGATCCTGACCCCTGAGGTGAGCTGACAACTTCTTATGAAAGATGCTCTGCCAGAGGCGGCCTGTGCATAGTGGGCAGATAAAATCCCTGTTCCCTTCTATCTAACGCAGTTTTTATGCAGTGGAACACTCAGATCCGGCTGGTCCTCTGTTATATGTTATACCTGCACACACACAAATTTATAGATGAGGTACCTCAAGAACTGATTTCCGATCTGCATGTATCTGCATGACATTCTCAGCCCATTCCATCAGTGATTCACCACGTGGAACTTTTACTCTTTCATGCTTGAGACGACCAACTCGAAACTCTCCAGGGTCATCTCGCCGTACGCTACTTGTGGTCCTTGTTCTCTCCACAGTGGCTTCACGTCGGTTTTGTAACCACACTATTGCTCTGAAATAGAAAAATATCTATGTAGCTGTGGCGTACAGCAACCGGTTGAATGTACTACCAAACCACTACATAAAAATAGACATTTCAGAACTATCAGAGAAACTAAGCTGTCTTTATTACTATGATACAAACTGAAAGCCATCATTAAAATAGTATTGTGATTTTAAAAAATTTTCTTTTTAGCAATGCAGAGTTAGCCCATTCAGAATGGAAGAAAGACTCTTGAACTAGAAATAAAAAAAATGAAAGATGTACTCTCGTGTGTTACAATATTTTTGGTAACGTGAGGCAAATCAGCTAAGTGCTTAGAGCATTTCCTCATCTATAAAACAGAAATATTAACCAATGCCATTTATCAGAACAGGCCAGTAGTTCCGTATATACAAATGCTTTGTAAATGGTATAAAATGATACAACAATATAACTTATCAGGAAAACAACTCCATTTTAAATTGTAACTTTTTAACATCTACTTTGAAAGGACTCTGGGTATTCAATCATTCAACAAATATTTATTGAGCATTATACACTGCTTTAGGAACTTCAGCTAGAGTGGTAAACAAAACAGCCAGAAATTCCTGCCCCCATGACCTTTTATCTAGTGGAAGGAAACAGAAAAACAAAAATAAGTAAGTAAAATATGTAGTATATAAGATGGTAATGAGAAAAATGATGGCCAGGAGGTAGATATATTTCAATGCTGCCAAAGCAATGTGCAAGCATTTAATTGGTATTCCTGGGAAGGTCAGCAACTGATAATTTATGTAAGCTAGTTAAGAACTGGACAGTAAATGCCAGCTGACAGAAAACAGTATAGTTGGCCCTTCGTATCCTCAGATACGGAACCCACAGATACAGAGGCTGACTAAGGGTCTTGAGCATCCATGGATTTTAGTATCCCCGGGGGTCCTGGAACCAGCAACTGTACTTCAACCTACATTACTCGACGAGAGCATATATCCAACTGGAAACAAAGTATTTAAATGTTGACAACTCTTTAAAAGAAAATAAGAGGATGTATTCCCTCCATCAGGTTTGATAGAAAGTATTTGTGCATTTTGAGCTTACATAACATTAAAAGAACTTCATTCTAAAATTATAAAATAATACATTTCCTACCTTGACGCACCAAATGCAGTACATGTGAAATAAAGCTGTCTAGTTTCAAACGGTATTAGAAAAGGACACTTGCTGGTTAATTGTTCACACCAGTCTGGCAGAGCCCCACTTGCCAATGCCAATGGTTCCTGCAAATTAACAACAATGTTTTAAGGCAATTATTTAAAAAGACAAAGAAGAGTCAATTCTTAAATGTAATTAAACAAATGAATGCAAGAGACTTAATGGCCCAAATCATTGAATCAGAGGGAAGGAAGAGATGGTGGGAGGTAGAAAAGTTGAACAGTTCAAGACTAAAGAGTTAAACTATCTGATTTTATTACCTCAATCTGCTGCAAAATTTTTGTTGTGATTTTTTTGCTAGTGAATTCATCTGGCGGGAAAGTAAACTGAGGCTGCTCATCACCTTCTGTAAAATTAATAAAATTAATAAAAATATAAACTGACTTTCTTTTAAAAATGTCATAGAAATGAAATAAGGCTTCTTACAAACCTTCCTGGGATATTCTTGAGTAAGGGTCACTTGCAACTATATATAGAATACGCAGAAGCTGAAGGACGTCTTCTACTCCACAAGAATTCTGTCCATTGCCTGCTTTGGCCTGAGGTTGTTCTTTTGTTAAATTAAGAATATCACTACTTTGAAGAGTAGAAATGGCTCCCTGGTTTAAGCCAGATTTTGTACCATGCTCACAAAAATCCTGAGGAAACAATTAGCAAAAATAGCCATTAATCACATTTTGAAGAAAAGCAATGTATCATTCTATTAGTATTACTTTGAAAAGGTTGGAATTTTTCAAAGAATTGCCTTCTTTTTAAATAAAAACAGTATCACCCAAGTTGAAAATTAATGTGTTCTAAATAATTAAAATTCCCAAATAAAAGAAAACCACTATAAACCAGTAAAAACTATGCACCTAGATTCCAATGCCCACAAACCATATTTGAAATTTTAGCATTGGCATATTAAAAATGTTAATTCGACCTAATTTGTTAAGTATGTCCCAATAAACATCTCTTCCTAAAAATATCTTTAAAAGCTGCAAAACAAAGCATTCCCAATCAAAACAGTGTTTTTATGCCAATATATACCTTATATGCAGCTATGAGTTGAGAACAATTTCTGTTTTTCCTAATACTTTTATTAGTGCCAGTTAATTTCCAGTGGCGCAGGAAAGCGGCGTCTGCATTCTTCTGCAGGTACGTTATCAAGTCATTCTTTGGTAATTCATCAGTGCCAAGGTACTGTTCCACATGCTCTATAGACCAACAACCCTACAATAGCAAAAACCAAATGGTAGCCTTTCCTGAATATAAAGTCTGTGCTATTTCACATGCATTACATAAAGTAGCTTGAAGATCATGCATTTAACCCAATTTAAAGAATTCCATGTTTATGATTCTTTCCTTCAATGTTCAATTGAAACAAAGTGTTAGTTTTTTTTTCCTTTTTTTCCCTACATAGCCAAGAAGTAACTTACCATTTTTCCATTTTCCTTTTCTTTGTCAGAATCCTTCATTTCTCTGTACATGATTCTAAAACATGAAGATATTATTCAAGTTAATTCATAAATGATTTGTGGTTACTTCCAATAAAGCTTCAATTTTTTAAAAAATATATGAATGATGCCATTCATAAACCACATGCTTACATGAAACACTGAACTCAGGGAGAATTTATCAGAAAAAATATTTGTTAAGCATAATAGAAAGTAGTAGAAATTTTATTCCTGAAAGTTACTGTTTATAAATTTAGCATTACTGTTAAGAAAACATATATCAAACCTGGAAATTTTAAAGATATAAAGTAACATGCTATATCATGTGTTATAACTTTCATATATTGCTATAAAAAATAAAATGAGATGAGGAATGGTTTGCTTCTGTTTCTAGATGGAAAGGATAAGAATAACAAAGACCAGGAACGCTGATGTTCGTGTAAGACAGCTGAGATCAAATCTTAAAATCCACTAAAAATTGAAAATGTGGGGGAATTGCCATGATGACTTTCTGTTCTATCAAATGAACCTAGATTACTTTATTGGACATTATATAAGATAATCAATGTTGTTAAGCGCAAAACAGAAAAATATACTAACAAAAGTTACATAAGGATAATTATGACAAAAGTATTTATATAAATGTTATAATACAATATGAAAATATACATAAATATTATATATTTTATAAAAATAATTTTTACAGGTAATATTGAGCACTTTCTACATTGCAGAGAGTACTGAAAACTCTTTACATACACGAGGTGTGATCAAATAATATGGCAAATGTTTAAATT